TTACATTTTTTTTTTTTTTCAAATTTGATGTGGTTGTTGTGTATTTATCGATGATATCTCATTTTCAAGAGTTAGTTAAACTACATTTCGTTGAACACTCGTATTAGATAGAACGTTTAGACAGTCATACTTTTTTAGTTTATATAAGCTAAAATATCATATATTGTTAAACGAAAATATGACATTTACAATATATATATATATAGGCAAAATTGCGGCTAATATCATGATCTTTATCGAGATTGCAAATTAATCACAACCTTTTAACTTTTGCATAATATATCACGTCCTTCAATTCTTTGCAAAACGATACATGCGCTGCCCCAACTCGTCTGACGTGGCACTCAAAATGCCAACGCACCTGCTGATGTGTATTTAACAGACGATTTTTTTTTCATAATTAATCACAACCTTTTAACTTTTGTATAATATATCACGCCCTTAATTTTTTTTTTTTTGCAAAACGATACATGGTTTAACATATGGTTTTTTTTCATCTCATCCCTGTACGAGATGAGGGGGAGATTTTGGAACCCTTGGGAATATATTAGGCTAGGGTTGGAGAGAAAACAGATTATTGAGACTTTTATCTTTTTTTCTTTTTTCATCTCAAAACTCATTCTCTCAACAACTTTCACTTGGTTTGCTTTGGATTTTGCTTGGATTCGAGTTTTGGAGATTGTGGCACTCCATAACGAACACGACTTGGTATGTAATTCGATTTTATTCTCGACTTGGATTAATAATAATTTCCTTTCATTTGATTATGGAAGTGATTTATTATGTTGAATCTTTTGTTGGGATTGATATCAATATGTGTGGCTAAATCGCTTCGTTAGGGATAAGGGATATTTGTTTTGGTTCGATTGAGATTCGTGTGTACGTGTTTGTCGTTCAATCTAGTCGAGTTGTGTTTAATCTAGGTTAGATGTGTGATCATCATTTTAATCTAGTTAATCAATTTGTAGAACCGGATGGGAAGAAATTGATTGATCTCGGCTCGTTTAGAATAGGCTTGTTCGTTAATAGATTGTCTATATGTTATAATTGATCGTTACGAAGAGTTATTGAGAACAAGCCTCTAAACGAGTATGTTATTTGATCTATTAACCGAGCAGTTGCGTGCTAATTGATTGCTTGAGAACCATAAACGAATATCTCCGACTCTCTAACTCACCAATCATTATTTGAACTCCATTTGGAATTTGAAGTGTGTCATGCTTTATTTTTAAAATTTATAGTTGACAATCAAAACAAAAAACAATTGAATTAGAGTGTTTCGGATTTGTTTTCTCTTTTCGTGTGATTGAATACACGTGCAAAGTAATTCGGCTAACCTTCCTTGAGAGGCTACCCGGTGTTTGAATCTTTTCATGTTCCAAAATCTCCAGCTCTAGCCTAATATATCCCCAAGGGTTCCAAAATTTCCCCCTCATCTCATCCAGGGATGAGATGTAAAAAAAAAAATCATCTGTTAAATACACGTCATACGAGTTGGGGCAGCAGATGAAAACGTGTATCGTTTTGCAAAAAAATGTAAGGGCGTGATATATTATGCAAAAGTTAAAAAGTTGTGATTAATTATGCAAAAAAATCGTCTGTTAAATACACATCAGCAGGTGCGTTGGCATTTTGACTGCCACGTCAGACGAGTTGGGGCAGCGCATGTATCGTTTTGCAAAGAATTGAAGATCGTGATATATTATGCAAAAGTTAAAAGGTTGTGATTAATTTGCAATCTTGGTAAAGGTCATGATATTAGCCGCAATTTTGCCTATATATATATTCATAAAGTACAAAAGATTGACTCGAACAAAGGTTGGATAATTAGCACGGGACTATTATAAAAGAAAATTGACAATTGTTGTTTTTCCATTGTTAAGACATCTCATAACAAAACTTCAATATGGATTATGTACATACACATTATGTATACCTTCACATGTGTGTGATTTGATCCTAACATGGCATGTTTTGCATTTTCACTATGTATGTGTGTGTGTGGTACTAAGCAAGAATGATTGTTCTAGTGGATTGTATTAAAGTGTCTCACTATCATCCATACATCTTCAATCACATCACATCATTATTAGTCTATCAATATTTATCTACAATCACATTCATTTCATATGTGTCAATATATGTATGTGTTGATCCAACGATAAATAACAAAAAAAACCCTTATTCCATATTTGTCAATATTTATCGGTATATTATTGTGTCTGTGTTGATCCATCGATAAATAACAAACGAAACCCTTATTTCATATGTGTCAATATTTATCGATATATGCTTGTGTTGATACAACGATAAATAACAAAAAAAATCAGTTGATTGTGCAGTCAAATTTTAGGCATGTTAAAATGCAGATTGAAAACTTTGCCAAGTAATCACAGTAAAATCATCATAGTTTGGACTAAACATTGGATACACATTTTGAAAAGACAGAACTACCCCTAATGAATTCAAATAGATCAGATTACCTCCTAAATTACATTACCATGAAAACCTCTACAGTAAGTGATAATAAAACCTATATAAAAAACTCCTCTACCTGGCCTTAAATTCTCATTATTCACATTTCAAACCAGAACCTTTTTTTTTTTTGTAAAAAAAAAAGGAAAAAATTAAAGAAACTATTTCTTCAAGTGTATAATACCGTCGATCGCGAGGGTCCCCCCGAGATCCCCGATAATTCGTGATATCCGAATTTCAAATCCCCTCTGGACTTCCTGGAAAAGCGTTCGGATGCTGTCAGCAAAACGCTTCAAGTCGAAGCCCGAGGGCATTACGGTCTTTTCAGCATCCTCGACAAATCCGCATGAGATCTTTGCCTGCACCTCCATTAGTTTCTGGCCTGTCGCAACAATGTACCTCTGCAGCTGAAAGGTCTCGTCGAGAAACTGCTCGAGCATTTTGGTCTCTTCCACTGTTTTAGCGATGGTGGGGCCCGTGCATCTCGAATTTAGCCTGTTTTCCTCCTGCAGTTCATGTTCATGCATGCATTTAAAAGATGATTAATGGTAAATTTAATTAGTTGGGATTAACCAAATAGTTGGTGGAAAAGATAGCTCAATGTTTTCTCATGTGTTTCCAAACATTCACAGTCTCAAAAGGTGATTCTAGTTAAATACCAAACAAAAATTCCAAGAAAATGTTAGAAAAAACCATAAATTCGATCGAGGTTATTCCAAAACTAAGGCAAAACGCAAAAGGGTACCATTCTTTGGCAAAGATCATCCGTTTTCCCCTGCAGCGATTGGTACCGATCGACCTGTTTGTTCAGTAAGGCCGTGAGCGCATAAAAACCCTTAATCCCGAGAGGCCCGTTTTCACTTTCACTATTCCCGCCACTTTCTTGCTTCCCGGTTAGTCTCTCGAGCATCAAAAACTGCTGCTTAAGTCTCTTAATCTTGTACGATACACCGAGAGCCTGAATATCCATCTTCAGTCCAGAAATCGTTTTCTTGCTCGTCACTTGCGACGTATCGACACTCGCAGCAGCATCCGAACCTACACTTTCCTCCCGTATATTACTCGGGCTCGAACGAGCAACTTTCTTTTCTTCTTGTGTGGCCTTTTGTGGATACTCAATCGTTAGAACTATATCCCGGGCTCGATTGTGGTCTCTAATTTCATCGTCTACTTTTCCATTTTCCCTCGCCCGACAATCTTCCTCAGCTATCATCGCATCCATTTCCCGCCTCTTTTGCTCGGGTCTTTTTCTAATGATCTTCACTTTAGACCAAACCGTCTCGTGGTCTGGCGGCGGAGAGGGGCCAAAGTGCAATTTCTGGAGATTCGGGGGGTTGAACTGCAAAACAAGCTGTTCCTTGAGAGAATGCAGCTCAGATTCACGGTCCATCAGCAGGGCCTCGAGCCTGAGGTTCTCCTGCCCGAGGGTTTCGACGTGGGCCCGCAGCCTCTTGGACTCGATTTCCGTGCTCAGCAAGCGCCATCTGAAAGTTTCCATTTTTTCATCTTTGAGCCTCAGTTGCTCGGCAAATGCATCTATTTCGAGGTTGTTGTTGTTGTTGTTATGCCGCTGCTTGATCGTGAATTCGTATGATTCGGCTTTGGAGGTGATAGAGCTATCCCGAGGCTCAATTTCAGCTGCCATCTCTGAAAGATTTGGAGAAAAAAAAAAATGCATTACAAAAGTAGTACGGAATATCCTCCAAAGTTGTCAATTATAGCTTACATTCCATTCATCAACTTCTCAAAAATATTGCAAGCTACCCCGGATTTTCATCTTGCATTTTACATTTGCACTCCTCAATTATTAGTATTTACATATAGCCAGATAAGAAATTTTTAGTATTTGTCAAACAACTTCACTAAACATTACAAATTAACAAACCCAGATTCGTGTCTAGCTTTCCTATATTTATGTCCCTCAGTATCTCAAGTACTACAAACAGTCAAATAAAAACTGAGGCTACTTGCAATATTTTCATTAAGTTGAGGTGCATAATTGTGAAAAAACTTAAATCAGACCGGCAGATTTTCATCCAGTCAACTAATGACCAGAGCGAATACGCAAGCAGAAATAAGATTTGAGAGCGATTTTCATAATTTTCTAAGTAGGCAGTCTTTTAGTAAATAGCACAAACCTCAAGGTTGGCTTCTGCAATTATCCATAGGTCACTATTAACAAATAACAACTAACAAACACTACCAACTCCTAATTCTCTACTAAATTTACTCAAAAACATGCAGGCTACATTTAAAATGCAATCTTACTCAGTTCATCATCAGCTGCACCAGTCAGATACAAGTTGGTCCCGAGCGAAAGAACATCGGACTTTGAATTCACCCCTTTCCCACCCAAAAACACGTCAGACTTCACATTATTCCCACGCTTATACAAAATGTTTCTCAACGAATGTCTCTCTGGCTTTGCCTCCATAACCGCCTTCCACCTGGCAGTCTCCATCTCGGCCTGCTTTCTCATAACCTTTGATGACTTAACATCATTTAAAAGCATCTCCTTTTCATCCGTGTCCAGTTTCGATTTCCTCAGCAAAGCAGACAAAATCTGGTCTTTCTGCTCCAAATCTTTTCGCATTTTGACGAGCTCCATGGAAACTCGTTGTGCCATCAAGACAGACTGATCTTTCTGGAGCAAAACTGAGTCGAGCTCTTGCTTTGCAGCCTCGAATTGCCTGAGGACCCGACCCATTTCGGCTTTGAGCTGCCTTTGATTCGAAACAAGCTCGATGAATGCCGTTTTGTGTTTTAGAATCTCATTCGAGTGGCGTTGGGACTCACGGTCCAAATTTTCCCTCAGTTCCTGCACGAGATCTTCGGCTTTCTTCAAATTTTCTTCCATCTCTCGTCTTTTTTCCTCCCCTTGCTCAATGGATTTATCCTTCAAAAGTAAAACAGCTTCGGTTTCATTTAACTTCTCGTTGAGCGCGGAAATGGATTTATCCTTTTCCATCTCTAAGGCTCGTAATTCATCCACAAGGTCATCGATTTCTTGTGTGAGCTTCTTTTTTTCAGTAAACCAAATTTGCTCACGGGACGCGAAAATGCCCACTACCTTCTCGTTGGCCTTGCCATCCTCACTTCTCGTTTTCTTCAGTTGCTCGATCTGTTTTTGTGCACTTTCGAGCTTTTGCAGAAGCTCATGATCTCTGGTTTTCGTGTCCTTATGAATGAATGATTTTGAGCTGCCCTTTTCATCCATTGATCAGTTATGAGATCAGCCACCTGTGAAATGTCACTGGATTAGTGCTTTTAGCTTTTTTTTTTTTTTTTAATTCCTGAAACATTTTTAATTCTTGCAAACAGATTTAAGCTTTAGCGGCCAACACCAACTCATAGATTGAATTAGGAGAATTAGAATCTTGCACCTAAAAGCCAAACACAACACAGCTCACACAAAACACATACACACGAGGAAGTAAGAACTACAAATTGTTGGGTAAATTCAAGATAAATCACAACACATTACAACCCAATAAGTAATTTCACATAAATTAGCAAGTATCAAAGACACAAAACTGAAAAAACAAGAAGTGAAAAAAGGGGAGAAAAACAGAGACAGACAAAGTACAATTTTCTTGATCTGAAAAAACAAACCCAAAATCTTGAATTTCAAACATCATGAGAGCTCAGAGTTACTTACAAGAACTGGGCCCCCCTTATTTCTTGAATCAGCGCATTGAAACACATCTTTTCTGGAGAAATTTCAGCTGAAAACAAAGATCCATTTTTTACTAACAAATGGTTTTGCTTAACCTGTAAAAAAGCCCAGCTGATAAGAGCTGGTAAAACTAAAATCCCTTTAGCTGCTCAGACTTTATTATCCTTTATAAAATCGTCAGAGCACGCCAAAAGCATGAAGCTCTACACGTGTGAACTCTGCAAATTCAGTTACCAATGGCTCCGGTTTAAGGAGAAAAAAAAAATGAAAAATGAAACAAAGGGGAAAAGGGAAAATAGTACTATAAAAGCTGGTTATATAATAGTTTCTCTAGTTTTCAGTGCTGCTGGGCCCATTAATCCCCATTTTTGGCGAGCACCCTCCTGTTTTTCGTCCTCGTGTTCTTCAGTTTTTTGTTCTGAGTTGTGAATTTGAGGGGCAATTGAGCAAATTTCAGGGTTTTTTTCTTCTTCTTCTGTCAAATTATCGAACAGGTTTTGTTAACGTCTTTCCAGGTTGGTTTGGTTGTCAATCTCTTTCTGTCTCTGTAGCCCCACAACAAGGATATAATTCTATATAATTGAATTTAGCTATTGAATTTAGCTTTAAAGTTGGGGGAAATGGTACGATTCCGTTACGAAATCATTCAGTCGGAGATTGTAACCATTAGATTATCATGTAATCATTGGAGATAATTGATCTAACGTTATAAACTTTGACGGAATAATTGCGTAACGGGACCGTAGCATCTCCCGTTTGTTTTTGTGGTTTAAGAATATTTCATTCATTACTACATTATATGACAATTAATATATATTCAGGCTCTTGTGGAGTATAGAGAATACTTGTTCCTAGCTTGTAAATAGTCCATTAGTTGAGTTATATTTTCTCCAATGTGTTCATGTATTCAAATTAATACCCCTTACTCTAAAAATTAGTAGAAAGTATATAAATGTCCATTAGTTATAAGTTTATCGTTATTCGACTTAACATGAGTTTGTCAGTTATATTTTCTCGAATGTGTTCACATATTAAAACTAAAACCCCATATTCTAAAACATTAGTACAAACAACAATATGATTTTCCTAGCATAAGTATGTAATTTTGTTATAAAAAAATATAGCATATGATATTAGTTTGCTTATATCTTGGATGGAGCTTAATGCGCATTATAAATATTTTAAGAAAATATTACTAATAAATGAAATTAATCATAATATAAATATAGTTTATGCATAATACACATAATTTTATTAATAATTTATATTGACTCTACATATACAACAATTTATTTTATTTAAAATGGACTAACCAATGACAAATTGTTCGCAAAATAATTTTACTACCCGCAAGTGTACGGAGTAGCTGCAGAAAGCGGCGAGCAAGGTCGTATTCCACAGAGACTGCTGTAAAACTAATTAAGTACC